CGCAGAGCCTGCTGTACCTGCGGTGGTTTCCGCTGAGCTTCCCCAACCCGTCTCAGCTTCTCGACCTAGGAGAAAGAGGAGGAAGAGGGGAGCCTCCCGTTCTTCGCCCGCTGCAGTCACAGAGCCCGCCGCAGTCACAGAGCCCGCCGCAGTCACAGAGCCCGCCGCAGTCACAGAGCCCGCCGCAGTCACAGAGCCCGCCGCAGTCACAGAGCCCGCCGCAGTCACAGAGCCCGCCGCAGTCACAGAGCCCGCCGCAGTCACAGAGCCCGCCGCAGTCACAGAGCCCGCCGCAGTCACAGAGCCCGCCGCAGTCACAGAGCCCGCCGCAGTCACAGAGCCCGCCGCAGACACAGAGCCCGCCGCAGACACAGAGCCCGCCGCAGACACAGAGCCCGCCGCAGACACAGAGCCCGCCGCAGACACAGAGCCCGCCGCAGACACAGAGCCCGCCGCAGACACAGAGCCCGCCGCAGACACAGAGCCCGCCGCAGACACAGAGCCCGCCGCAGACACAGAGCCCGCCGCAGACACAGAGCCCGCCGCAGACACAGAGCCCGCCGCAGACACAGAGCCCGCCGCAGACACAGAGCCCGCCGCAGACACAGAGCCCGCCGCAGACACAGAGCCCGCCGCAGACACAGAGCCCGCCGCAGACACAGAGCCCGCCGCAGACACAGAGCCCGCCGCAGACACAGAGCCCGCCGCAGACACAGAGCCCGCCGCAGACACAGAGCCCGCCGCAGACACAGAGCCCGCCGCAGACACAGAGCCCGCCGCAGACACAGAGCCCGCCGCAGACACCGAGCCCGCCGCAGACACCGAGCCCGCCGCAGACACCGAGCCCGCCGCAGACACCGAGCCCGCCGCAGACACCGAGCCCGCCGCAGACACCGAGCCCGCCGCAGACACCGAGCCCGCCGCAGACACCGAGCCCGCCGCAGACACCGAGCCCGCCGCAGACACCGAGCCCGCCGCAGACACCGAGCCCGCCGCAGACACCGAGCCCGCCGCAGACACAGAGCCCGCCGCAGACACAGAGCCCGCCGCAGACACAGAGCCCGCCGCAGACACAGAGCCCGCCGCAGACACAGAGCCCGCCGCAGACACAGAGCCCGCCGCAGACACAGAGCCCGCCGCAGACACAGAGCCCGCCGCAGACACAGAGCCCGCCGCAGACACAGAGCCCGCCGCAGACACAGAGCCCGCCGCAGACACAGAGCCCGCCGCAGACACAGAGCCCGCCGCAGACACAGAGCCCGCCGCAGACACAGAGCCCGCCGCAGACACAGAGCCCGCCGCAGACACAGAGCCCGCCGCAGACACAGAGCCCGCCGCAGACACAGAGCCCGCCGCAGACACAGAGCCCGCCGCAGACACAGAGCCCGCCGCAGACACAGAGCCCGCCGCAGACACAGAGCCCGCCGCAGACACAGAGCCCGCCGCAGACACAGAGCCCGCCGCAGACACAGAGCCCGCCGCAGACACAGAGCCCGCCGCAGTGAAGGCGGTCCCAGCACCCGCTGCTGAGAGAACGTTTCCTGAGCTATCTTCTGAGAGAGCTGTTTCCGAGCTCGCTGCTCCAGCTCCTGAGAGTACTGCACAGGAGAGCGCTTCTGAGTTTTTTATGAGCACTACATCTGAGTCGATTACTTCTCACCCTGTCTCCTGTCCTGTGCTGTCTCCTTCCTTGTCCCAGTCAAGTTCCCCCAGCGTTTCTCCACGTGTCACCCTGTCTCAGTCTGGTTCCCCTATGGCTTCTCCTCGAGTGCCTCCACCCAAGTCCGCCCGGAATCCTCGTCCCAAGCCCTCATCCCGTAAACCCAAGACCCCCAGCCCTCCCACCCTCCCTGGTCTACCACCCATGAACTTTCTTGTTCCCCCGCCCCCCCTCCCTCCCTCCCTCCCTCCCTTGTTTGTTATTTTTATTGATGCATCCCAACCCCATTATTGTATATTCTTGTATGCCGTTGCTTTTATTCGTCATGTTTTGTTGGTTTGTGTCTGTTTCCCAGTCTGTCATGTCTCGTGTTTGATGTCCTCTTTTGGAGCGTCTGGTAGCCGCTCCTTAAGGTGGGGGTTCTGTCATGATTCTGCCCTCTTGTCATTTCATTTCTCTAGTCTTGAGGCAGGATCATGACAGACCCATGTTTTGTGTGCAAGCACATGGTCTTGTGTTTTGAGCCATGTGCTTGTGTTGTCTCGTTATGTTACCCCGCCCCCTTGTTATCCTCGTCTCGTCATTATTGTCTAGTCAGTTTCACCTGTCCTTGTCTAGTCAGCTTCACCTGTCTTTGTCATTAGTGTCTCCCTATTTAATCCCCTTGTGTTTGCTGTCCTGTGTCGGTACATTGTCAAACATTGTGAGTTATTCTCTGTGAGTATTTTGTCTGAAACCTGTTTATTGAGAATTGTGAGTTTGTTTCCTGTCAAGTCAGAGTCTTCGTTTGTCATCGTGTCTTAGTTTACCTCCAGTCCTGTTTTGCCCCATCGTGGGTTTTGTTTTCTGTTTTGCCATCATTAAACCCCTTTTGAGTTATTTGCAGTCTGCTTTTGGGTTCGTCTATCCTGCAACCTCATGACAGAAGATGGAGAGAGATAGGTGTGGGATAGGGGAAATGACCGCAGGTCACATTCGAACCTGGGTCCCCTGTGAGCATTACATTACATTACATTACATTTAATCATTTAGCAGATGCTTTTATCCAAAGCAACTTACAAATGAGAAAAGCATAGAAGCCATCAAGCCAACAATTAGGCAACAATACGCAAGTGCTGTGACCAGTCAGTTCAGGCAGGTCATTCCACCAGCTTGAACAGTCAAGGAAAAGGAGCACTTGGACCTAGATTACGGACATGGCAGTAGTGATTTTGCAACTGTTTACTAAAAAAAAAGCACACATGGACTTAGGGTCCACTAAAGTGATTTTTTTTTTTTTAAATAAAGCATTTCAATAACCTTTTCATTGCCATTAAAGTGAAATTACTGAACCTAAACATAGGAGCCTGATAAAAAGAAATAAGCTCATTTAAAAGATAAATGTCAGACAGATGTGAGGTTTTTGCATCTGACGTCTTCATATATCTTCTGTGGAAGTCTTAGGTTCCATGTTAGTGCGTTCCATGAGGCTTTTCAGAGTTGTAGACAGACAGTCACCAAGCGCCGCAAACAAACAGCAGCCATATCAGCAATAATGAGACAGAAAAGCCTGTGCGTCAATATTATTTCATTTATTTATTAATTCATTCGTTTGAATTAATTCTTTTTTTTTCTATTTTTGACAGTAGGCTAGCCTAATAAATTAAACACAAAGCCCTTTTAACAAGTAGGCCTATAATTATTTATTTATTTGTTATATTATCTGCAATACTAACGAAAACCCATGCAGCAGGACTATCAATTTATTTATAATTTTCTGTTGATTATAGATAGATTAGGACTATATACTTTATTTATTAAAATTAAACTGCACGTTTCCATTGATTGTGAACTTAGACATAGAAAATGGCAGATCAAGCGCATGGGGCTGCATGCTTTTTCTTGTTATGATTTGTATCCTATTTTCCGTTATTACAGTTAACTACGCGAAGTGATATGGAACTATAATGCGGTCGAGACCTGCTGGAACTACTTTAGCTGTGTGTTTCTCTGAAAATAATTGCACACCGTCAACCAATCAGATTCAAGCATTAAACAGCCCCATAGTATAAAACTGAAATAAAAATTTGTTAAAGCTGAATCATTTTTTTAAAACAAAATTAATAAAAAAACACACAATAAAATGTATTAAAAATAGAAAAATAAAAGGTGTATAAATCATATAAGTAATAAATATTATAGTATGTACATGACATATTTATATATAACACATTTATTTACATATCATATTTAATATATTATAATATACTTCACTATATTTTGTAATTATATAGCTCCACATCAAATACAATTACTCAGTGTGATGTCTGGTCATGCTGCTCACCCCTAACGTGTGCTATACATTGTGTGCAAAAGAGGTTTAAAATATAAATGTAACAATATAAAGAGCAAATATAGCTATATCTACACACTGTAAAATCCAATAGCGTTCCTGACTCACATATATTAGTTAACTTTACTCAGTTATATAAAATACATACTTCTTACTAGGTTTTGTTGAGTTACGGTCAATTGCAGGGTGAAAATAACAAGTTACTCAATAATTTGAGTGACGCTTACTTGATACAAGCAAGTAGCAACAAATGATGCAATGGCGTTACTAAACCAGTGAGAGGCAGCAGTGCATTAAAGCGTGCCTAATGTGCCGAAAAAACAAAGAAGAAGAAGCTGCACTTGTGAGAGCATGCGCGATAGATTCTGTGTATTTCAGCGCCAATTTTGAAGATGTGGAAAGACGTTGACAGACTGGAGACTGCCTACATTTTTATCTGGAGCCTCGCTACATTTTTGGAATAATAATATGAGATGATAATAAGGTGAGTAATCAAGCATGCGACTTTTGTGTGAATGTTTTTTTTTTTACTGTCTGTCGCTAATCTTTACTGATCTCCTTAATGTGTACCAAATAATTGTGATATTCGGAGCTTGAAGAATATGGTTAGGCATAACAGTTCCTGGAATGCCTGAAAAGCTATTTATTGTTCCCAAATTTAAAACCGATGCATTTTCACTGATGCATTCTCCTCTATTGGCATTGGTTTATAAATGATTAACGTTAAGGTTACAAATCGTGTGAAATGGCGCACATTTACAGTTAAATGTAACGTTAACCTGCAGTTTATGCAGAGATTAAGTTTGTGATGATTTGTGACAGTATTTATGAATTCACAATAGCATTATACTTTTATTTTTTAAATTGAGTACATTAAGAATGTAAGGCAAGCACTGGTAAAAGTTATTTTCTTTACTCAAACTCCACTGCTTTATCACTGCTGATAAAATTAGCCATCTTTTAACAAGATGAGAAACTTAGTAATGTTAAGTGATGTTATCCTAGACTAGTGGAACCTCTGATTGCATCAAAGATGGACCAGACCTTCTCAATGCGAAGATGTGAGATTGTGGATGCAGATGGAGCAGTGGCCAGCTCTTTTTACAGAGAGACCAGTAAGAACTTATTCATATCCCTTTTTCCACCATGAGAAACCACATTCTGTTTAGGTTTGGCTTTAGGATTGGCCTGTAGGCCTGACCATGCATTGAAAAATTTCCACACTGTCCCATGCCTTTTTTTGTGTGCCTGTGTTGTAGGTGTTTGCAGAGTTTGACAGGATAGTCACCACAGATCTGCAGACTGCAGAGTAACTTTTATGGTGCTGTGGATCGCTACACACCACGTTTTGTCACAAGTCTTCAAGAAGCATTGGAGAGAAATTTGATGATCTTATGCAGCAAATTAATACAGGGGTGAGTTTCCTGCAGCCTTAATTTTTTATTATTATGACACTTTTTTTCATCTTCAGATAAAAAATTATGATACTTTTAATAAAATCCAAGTCCTTTCTGTTCCTCAATAGGCAGCAATGAAAGAAATCATAAGCTCATGTGTCTCCAGTGGTTTAAGCTCATTTCATGAAGCAACATGAGCGCTTTTTGTAATAATATAAAAATAATATTTTGTATTTACTAAATCTTATCGATTTGTTCAAAGGATAACAACTGGCTGCTCATGCATGAGCAATACACACATGTATGCAGGGCAAATAACTGACAATTAATCATGCCTTTTCACTTTTCCCTGTTGTAATATTTTTATTGTTTGGTTTTATTCAGGTTTGTGATGTTGATGAAGCCTGGGCACAAGTATCTGTTGGGGTGCTGACTGTCATTGATGAAGAAGAATCTCTCTCTCTACCTTTGCCCAGTGTCTACTGCCATCATTGTTGAGAGAGGTATTGTAATAATCTGCAGAATCATGCAATCTGCATCTATTTAGGTCTGTCTTATGCTTTAAATTTGGATTACACAAAAGACATGAAAAACACTTGGTTTGGGACAGAACAAACTCCCACCAAAACGGCAATCTCTGAAAAATCTCTTGAGTAATGAAATGTGCAAGATTAACGATGTTTGGCATTAGATTAAATTCGTTTATGACAGTGGAATTAGATTAGTTGATAGACAAATAAAAGGGAAACTAAGCCACTTGTTTAAAATTATCAGCCCATTAGTTCATGAGCAAGTTAAAGGGTTAGTTCACCCAAAAATGATAATTCTGTTAGTATTTACTCTCCCTCATGCCGTTTTAAACCCGTAAGACCTTCTTTGGAACACAAATGAAGATATTTTTGATAAAATCAGAGAGCTTTCTCTCCCTCCATTGAACGCAACGTCATTGAAACTTTCCAGGCCCAGAAAACTAGTAAAAACATTGTTATCCATGTGACTACAGTATTTCAACCTTAATATTATGAAGCGACGAGAATACTTTTTATGTGCAAAAACCCCCCCAAATAACGATGTAACGAGGTTCAGTTGTTATGGGAAGAAGGAGGCGTGAACCGGCGAACATTCAACAAGTTTAATAACCTAAAATAAAACAAATACAAAACGAAAGTATAAGCCAGCTGCCCCTCGAGGATGACTGCTGGCCACACATAACACAACATAAAATCCAGGCCTGGCCTCTCTCGATCTCTACTGTCGTCGCTCCTCCTTTATGCCTCTGCTCCTCCGTGAGAGATACGAGACCGGTGCGTCTCACAGGTGTCGCTCATCAGCAATCACGCCAGCGGCCTAGCGCCGCTCTCTCACGGCCCTCTGTCTCGTCCTGCTCGCCACAAACTGCATTCAACAATCTCTTCTCTTCCACGTGAAGCTGCGCTGTTTACACTAGATCAACAGCGTAGGAGAATGACGTTGAAGAGAAAGAGATTGTTGAATAATGTCGTTATTTGGCGGGGTTTTTTCACACAAATACTATTCTCGTCGCTTCATAACATTAAGGTTGAACTACTGTAGTCATGGACTATTTTAACAGTGTCTTTACTACCTTTCTGGGCCTTAAAAGTCACAATGACGTTAATCTTTGGAGGGACAGAAAGCTCTCATATTTCATCAAAAAGATCTTCCTTTGTGTTGCGAAGATTAATAAAGGTCTTACGGGTTTGGAACGGCATAAGGGTGAGTAATTACTGACAGAAATTTCATTTTTGGGTGAACTAACCCTTTAAGATGCTGTCAGCGTATTCATTTCTAATGTACATGTGTGTCAGAGACATTGCTTTTCCATTGTTTAGGATAATGAATGTAGCCACTTTTTTTTGCACTTCTATATACCAAGTTTGGTCTCCGAAGTGTTATTGATTAAAGTGAGTAATTGTTATTTATTGAATTGTTAAAGCTGTTTGTTGAGGATGTGTTAGAGTCAGGGTATGGTCTCAAATTTATTTATTTTTATTCAGATTTTATATAAAAAAAATTATATTGTTGTACTGTAAAAGGTTTTTGGGAAACAACCTAACAATAAGGTTAATTAGTTAACATGAACTAAGAATTAACAATACTTCTTAGGGGTGTAACGGTACATGTATTCGTATTGAACCGTTTCGGTTCGAGGCTTCCGGTTCGGTACGCATACAAACCGAACGATTCCTTGGACCATTTTTCCTGCCGACAAAATTCGCGCTGGCGCGATCACCACAACGTTGCGCAACATCAAATGGCAAGCGTAATGAAACCGGAACGAAACTGCGCTATTGTGCTTCACGGATCGTTTATCAGTTCGGAGCAGCAACATCTGTGCAGCGGGAGCCGATCTCGATCAAGCGACACTGTTACAACCGTTACAACACAGCGCTAAGAGATCCAGTAAAGAAAACATTTGAGTTCGCCACTGAAGTAATAACATCGCTGCGAGATCTAGTGAGAAGCATTCATATTTCTCCGTTATTAACCGTAGATCTCTATTAGATCAAACAGCGCTGACGTGGACACCAGGAGAAATATTGTGCCGTGAATGAACTAGTAATACTTTACGTCCACAGACCAGCAACATTCACCATGGATTTAATATAGTAACACTAACTGTAACCAGTTTGGCTGGAATAGTGAAATGCTTTCAAGTACTTCACACATCTTTTTCCAGCACTTCAAAACTCAAATATTATATAAATAAATAGCCTATATGAAGAGTTCAGATGCAAAAGCCTCTATAGTGCCATTTGAAATTTTCTTCTAGAATTTAGAATGATCATTTTTATGAAGCTTGTACATTTAAGTTCAGTAATTTCACTCAAATGACAATTAATAGGCAATCTTCATTGCCATTTAAGTGAAATTACTGAACTTAAATATACAAGCTTGATAAAAATGATCATTCTAAGAAAATTTCAAATGGCTTTTGCATCTAAACTCTTCATATATTTAAATGTTATTTTTAATGTGATGACCAAAACATTATTTGTTCGTCCTTCAAAGATGACCCCCATTTATAAACCTGAAAGTTTCAAGATGTAGGAAAACTCACTTATTTAAAAAACATTTTTTCTTTTAACAAATAGGAAATTTCTCTGGCATTTCTTACTTTTTGCTGTATCGAAAACGTACCGAACCGTGACTTTAAAACCGAGGTACGTACCGAACCGTGATTTTTGTGTACCGTTACACCCCTAATACTTCTACAGCATTTATTAATCTTAGTTAATATTAATTTCAACATTTACTAAAACATTATTAAAATCAAAGTTTGTATTGGTTAACATTAGTTAATGCACTGTGAACTAACATGAACAAACAATGAACAGCTGTATTTTTATTAACTAACATTAACAAAGATTAATTAATACAATAGCAAATGTATTGCTCATTGTTAGTTCATGTTAGTTAATACACTAACTAATGTTAACTAATGAACCTTATTATTAAGTGTTTCCGTTTTTTTTGTTTTACAGTTGTTGTTGTTTTTTTAAACCTAGTGATTTACATAAATTGTATACCCCAATGCAAACTTGTGTGGACCACCCCTGTGAAGTTTTTAAGAAAACAATACAATAAATTTACCTTTGAACTGTATCATTGCCTTACATTTATTTGTCCAGTTGTAAATGTTATCTTTGTAAAATTGTGAAACTATTCTCAATGATTTACAATAGATGTGTACACGTGTAAGTGTACACTACTAGACATGCACTTGTTAGTTCTACATATTTTTCCTATTTCACTTTACTCAGTTTTTAGAGTGCAATCGGTTTGCATGCTTTTTTCAAGTAAGGTGTACTAATTGGATTTTACATCAGAGTTAACACAACTAGCATAAATGAGTACATCTAAAGTAAAAGATCAAGTATAGTATACAAATTATTTTAAGTTACTGGAACTCTCTTGTAAGTGTACACTACTAGACATGCACTTGTTAGTACTACATATTATTCCTATTTCACTTTACTCAGTTTTTTGAGTGCAATCGGTTTGCATGCTTTTTTCAAGTAAGTTGAACTAATTGGATTTTACATGCTGCATGTAATTACGAGTCAACACAAGCAATATCATTAAATAAGGCAAGCTTGACATTTGCTGAAGCGCATCTCTGTAGCCTTGGTATAGATTCCTGTTTTTAGAGCCTATAGTGTCTCTCTGACTCCCTTATTGGCTGTAGCTGCAACAGCAACATTGCACTATCCATAGGCATAGCAACAGTATCCATTAAGTTGTTGATGGAGATCTCTTTACTACACTCACCCAGACTAAATTCAAAGAAAGGTGGAGAGATAAAAACATCTGTCGTTTCTAAGAGACCATTAATTAGAGGCAGTTGGTCTGAGCGGGAACCAGCTGTTATGGTGTATGTGACTGTGTTTGTATGTATGTGTGTGTTTATATGTTCCATGGGTAGCCGCCATATCGATTTATCCCCACTGAGCTTTTCATCATCAAAGATAAAGATGCAGTGAAGGTTTAGCTTTAGAAGGATCGGGTCTTGTGGCCATAAAGAACTCAAAATTCATTGTTTGCATTCTCAAGGGCATGCACCTATTAATTTAATTTTTTTGAAAGAAAGAAAGAAAGAAAGAAAGATTTTTTTAACATACATAATGCACATATTTAGCCTTGTGGAACCATTTGCATCCAGTGTGCAAGGAGGAAGGTGCTCAAGTCATGACTAAATATAAAATGTTTCTTAGTTAACCAAAAAACTGCATTTCCCAGCATGTGATCAGCAGTCAGCACATATTTGTGTTAAATGGAAAAGAGCAACTTTTTTATTTTAATAGCGGGGCACATGCTTCACCAAGAAATGTACCAAAATAATTATGCAGTTTGTTGTTTCCAGTGCTGCGTGTTTGAAATCGGACAGCATGTTAAACAGTAAGCATCAGGAAACAGTTTCCTTTAACGTTGGGAAATCATCTGAACAAAAACTAACACTGGATAAACAACTAATAGTAAACATGGAGGATGACCTTTCTCATTTCATACATGCTCACATGATACAATCCAAATCTCTTTTTGAATCCAATACACACACCCTGAGTATTCACACTTTGTCTTGTTTTTAACCTGTGAACGTATGTTCTGTACCAAATGCTGTGTTTTGATACCCCTCCAGCCTGGCACTGACCAGTCCACCCACTCACCACCTCCTGTCCATCTGGGAAACGTAGCACAGCTATTTTGTGGCAGTGTTACACCATTACAGTACCACGGCAGGCCAGTTTACACTTGGCATTTTGAGTTAGTGCTGCATTGTCTCTTATTTTATGCTTGTTGATTATGTACATGTCATTATGGCTCAAACATTTGGGGCCAGATTTTCTAATAGCTTGCGCTACTGTCAGATAGACGTAAACTCAGTATGTTCTCTGTAAAAGAGAAGAGTCATTGCATTAGCAGTGAAAAATTAGCGCTGAAAAGGCGTGCACGGGG